AAGTATTGAAAATGCATAGTCACAATTTTTTTTTTAATAAGCATTGAAAGTTTGAATTTTGACAAAAATCGTGAACATTTGCAATTTATTTTGAATTAGAAATTCATAAAAATTTGTGTTTTAAAATCTTAAATTTTAAAATTCAATACAAGAGTCTTCATAAGTTTGTCTACTTTTATCAAATAAAAAAATGTCTACCGGAAAGTCCGGAAATTCAAATTAAATTTGTATTAATCTGCAGAATTACCTATTAACTCAATTCCTCTTGTACCGATATTCTTATTTTGTTGTTATTMAAAAACGAATAACTGTAGGAAATTGAAATTTGCATGACATGTTTATTTTATTAATTCATATCCTTGATACAAATATACAATTTTCAAAATATTTCAACAATTTTTAATAGTTATTTAAAGACATTCCTTTGAAATTTTCCGTTTTGTGTTCTATAAATGTCAATAAAACTGTATCTGTTGGGTCAAAAACTAGAAAACAAGGTTCCCAGCAAGTTGATATAATAGCAGTAGTAAAATATAAAAAATACCTAGGCACGCTTTTTTCTAGTTCAAATAATAGTTCATTAAAAGTACAAATTTTGATAAAATGCTTTTGATTGAAAAATTAACTATTCATAATAAATTTTTAAATACTCATAACTCGCTTTAAAATTAGAATATGATAAAAGACTAGTATGTTGTCTAGATAATAGTCTTACCTTTAAATTTGATTAGAGGTCAATTCAGTCTAAAATTTAAATTAACAAAGCTACACTTACGTGTTCTGTTGAGCGTAAAAATTGGTATGGTACCTACGCACTTGTAAGAATGGAGACAACTCATGCGGGTATCAAGTCCTYTTAACAATAAATTGTGTATACTTACTATGAATTACTGAGTGGGTCGGGTTATGAATTAAATTTGATTAATTTTGATTTTATAGGTAAATATATTTATTTTTTGAAATAATGGCAATGTAATTAATATAGTATAAAACAATAAAATATCTTAGACTGACAAACCGTCTTGTTCAGGATCATTTTTCGTATGTAATCATTAAATTCAAATTTAATACCATCCATCACAGTAGGTAACCCCCTTGTGAATTACTGTATAACAGAGTGAAATCCACTTACCCGTTTAC